CTGATATAGGAGACAATTTTTGTATATCGGGGGAAATTTTTTTCAAAGTGGTTACAAATGATACGAAATGACTCGAGGGAAAGTGCCCTCCGAATTAACGCGTCCGGCTCTCGGACAAGATTCACGAGCCGCACACCGAGAACATCACCCTCTCGCTCAAACGCCATTCATTACCGCGGCCATTCACAAATGCCCCAAGCGTCCGCTTGCAAAAACAGACGGCCACGATAAAAAACTGACGATACCGTCACAATGTGATTTGGCAGCAAGGAACTGGTGCAATCCACGTGTCAAGTGCAAGTAGATGGTATATATAATTTTACATGATCATCAGCCCATCATCCCTCACTTTACAGTGCTCCTACCATCCATCTCACGCCCACGCATGCACTCATCCCGTTGCTCCAGCTCCCATTTAGGAGACGAAGAAACAAACAGTGGATTCCTAACACCTGCGCCTCTTCGCGGAAGAGCCCCGTAAGTATGTTAAAGAAAGCAATGCGCAATGACCTTGTCAAGTTGGAATTGTTAAGGGCGATTCGTCAGAACGCGGCGGGTCTAGGGCACTCAGAAACATCCGCGCGCGATCCGACGCATGTGAAAGCGCGCGGCAGCGTTGTCTGCATGGCTCCGAGCAGGCGAGAACGTGCGAAGACAAAGCCACCTCTCAGAACAGCCGCGTGATAACTTAATGGAACTATTATGCAGACAACAAAATAATGCAATTAAAGGAGGGGGTGGAGGTAAAGGCTGCCTGGTAAGAGTTTCTTGCAACGTAATGAAAAGACAAAATAATGACGTGAACTCTAATCCGTGGCGACTTAAAAGCACTTTGCAAAACCCTGCCGGACGAGGAACACATATAAATGAGCCACCTGTCTGATTTCTCCGGCTGTTCTGTTATTAAACAATAAACATCCACCGCCCAGTTATGATTCAAATTGCAGGGAAAGCGAAGAAGGGGAGATATGCTTTTTAAGACGTCGGGCTCGGAATGTTCATTCAAATTCTATCGAGCTGTCAATTCCCTGAAGGGGAGGCCGAATATTTCCATTAGACTGGCCCAATTGCTCTTGCAATTCTTGCAATAGCAGATGAATCAGTCAATCCACGGCTTCCAAAGCACAGGTACATACTGCAAGTTTAAATAAAAAAAAACTGAGCCATATGTAAGCACGTTAACCACAACAATAGATTTTCTTTAGGCGACCTGTCATTGGCCATCTGGCCATAAGTTAAGCTTATGAATTATATTCGATGTATGTACATCACAGCATATGGCCAAATCAGCAGGTGCCGTAGAAATTTTAATTGCCGCACGTGCACAAATGTGGCACGATGAGAAGTTTCTGTCGTGTCACGACTGTGAACACTGGAATATAATAACGTATTGATTCTAAAATGTAACGCGGTAAAATTGGGTGGAAAAACGATTTGACACGTCAGTATTTTTCTATCAAGCTACACGACCGACATGCCACGTATCCTAAAGCGCAGTGCCAAATAGCGCGATTGCCGTCACGATTAAATTTTCACAAGCAGTCCCGTACTTAAATTACAATCACCGAGCGTGGAGAAGAGCACGCTTGTGGCATTACATTGAGGGGCAGAAAGAGGAACACGTATTAAATATTCTATATATATATATATACACCATCCAAACTGTTAAGAAAAACAACTAAGTTTGGACAGTATACGTCAATAAAAATAAAAATTTACATTTATTTGCAAGGCGCCTTCCACTAATGTCTCAAGGCACCTTGAAAGAATAAGGAAAGGCCAAGAGAGACAGAAGCTCAATAGAATTAACTGACGTAAGAAGATGTGGTTTTAAGACGAGACTTAAAAGCATTCAAATTATCGAATAAACGACTTTCTAATGGTAGAGAATTCTACAACCGGTGGCAGACACAGCAAGTGGCTGCACGCCCCATGAACGCAGCCGAGATCGAGGTACGCACAGAAGGGCGGCGGCGTTTGCAGATCTTACCGACCTTGAGGGGGTGTACGGATGACTTAACTCGTGCATTTATGGTGGTGCCAGCCCATACAAGGCTTTAAAAACTCGTAGAAGGTTATTAAACTCCTCTACTCGCTTCAAGACTGGGAGCCAGTTTAATGGTAAGAGAAGCGGAGAAATGTGGTCACGTAGTGGGGATTCGGGCGAGCACGCTAACTGCCGATGGTCAAGAATAATAACAAAAGTGGCATGCCATGGAGTGGAACGCGTCCAGGAGAATGGCTTCGGGAGGCCTTCGTCATCCAGCAGTGGACGGACCAAATGTGCTGATGAACTAAATGAATGAAAAACTTCGTCAACAAAACACATTTCAGGAAAATCTCTTCGTCCGCATCTACATAAAAAAACGGCGGCCAACTGATATATATATACGCATCGGCAGGTGGCGGGGACAAGGCCGTTTTTTTAAAACGAGAGAGGCGTTTAACAAAACAAACCCCATTCGCAAATACGTGCGCGCGTGCAAACAAGAGACTCGGCCGCCCGCCGCCGCCGTATAACCCACAGCGGACGCCCACTGAAGGTAAATCACGGGCGCAAATTTAGAAAAGGAATCGAGACAGGCTGGAGAAGAGCCGGAGGGATTTGAATGGACACTTACACCCACGCTGTTCACGCGAGATGACAGGCAGGCAAAGAGGAGGGGGGGGGGGGGGGGGGACGCACACCAGCTCTCGCCTTGCACGGGCGGGCATCTCATTAAGAGCGCACGTGTACACAAAATGTGCAGCCGGTTCCGTAAATGATTAATGGACGGCCCATGGGGGGGAAAAAAAAACACGAAAAAATAAAAATAATTCGTAGCCGGCACCATCAAATAAAATGGTGCATAGGAAAAGAAAAACGAGGCGCGTGCGAGGTCTCCACAAAAATAACAAAGAGGGACAATATTGATATCGCCCACGCTTCCACTCGGCGTCGCAAAAAGATGCGCAGAAATAATCGGCGCGGGGCATTATTAAAAACGCGACTGCTAAAAACCTGCACGTTCGTTGGTGCTCATTAAAATATAAATAAAGAGCAAACTGATGCTACGTGTGCTTGGTTTTTTGTTGGAAAGGGGGAGCGGTAACGTAGCGGTTAGCGTGCCACGCAGCGAACCCAGCAACCCGAGTTCGATTCCCGTTCGTGGCCAATACCGGTGACAATTATCTGAACCAGTCCTGGGCCTCCCCGTCACTGAGGATGGATCGACGACACAACTGCCGACGCACGATGTGGGGGAAGAGTTACCGCCACGCTCTCTCCTCATTGCCCCTGGAAGTGTCCGCTTCCCAACGTTTTGTGGGTATCAACAAGGAGAGCATGAGGACACGGCCTGTTAGTTGAGGCTCATGGGAGTAAATAGCATGGACGACAACACAAAGGTATTCAAGAACAGGGCTGATACCAAGTGTAATTGTGATAATTGCTATCTCAGTATTTGATTGCTATAACAATGTGACGGTTTACGTCTGCCCGACTCAAAATTGGCTCCTTTGAGCATCTTTTACAAAAACACGCAATTATTGCGATCCGGCAGCATTGAGAATGTACGAGCAGCCGTTGTGAAAAACAACGACTCGTTCAAAGGAGGGGGAAAAAAAACTCCACGCACTTGTTCGCTGCACCAGGCATTTTTTAACGCGGCTCCGCCCCCATCCACGACAACGTGCTCTCCGTCTGTTCCTAAAAGCGACGTAAATGGGCAAACCCCTGGGTTTGCGCGTTGAAGCGCCGCGGGGGAGGGGAGGCTGTTAGCCTACATTAAACCTGCAGGCGAGGAGATGCAAAACGCCGTACACCTTTGCGTTCCCGACGCTCGCTTTCAACGCAACTACGAGAAACCGGCGTGTATAAAAACAGGGGGTGCACCGGTGCAAAAAATATGCAACCCGCAGCGCGGGTTGCGAGAAACGTGCAACACGCACGTGTTGCGGTTGCGCAACTCGACGGAGGCGCGAAGGTCCCACGGAGGTTTACGACTCGGCGACGTACAACAAACATTGGCTCCGACGGGGACACGCGCCTCGTTAACGGGATGAGATCCCCCCCCCTCGCCCCCCTCCACCAACGGGCAGAGCACTCTACTCTCCCCTTTGTTAGCCACTCGTACCCCCACACCCACACACACCACCCCGCGGGTTTATTAAAAGAACGGCCGATCCTCTGAAATCCCACGGTGGGCTGTGTAGTTAGGACGCGTGCGACCTGTAATGTCGGATGTTGTGTTTGTATTTTAAGGGCGCCCACAAATGATTAACGTGGACAGAGACAATTAATGAAATTAAAAGATGTGTTTACTCATCATTAAGCTCCGTCGTGACATCGTTCGGTGTGCATAAGAAAAGGATAAGAAGCGTGCATATCCACCGATCTGTAATACTCTTTGGTTTTTTCGGTTCAGGTCACGTAGGTAAAAAATATAAAAATGAAAACAAATAAAATTAAATGACGACGTTTCGAAAGCAACACAAGCAACCGTCATCAGCTGTTGACTGCTCCAGCAAAAATTACGCAATGTTTGACCCGTAGGGTATGTTTTATTATTATTATTATTGGTACGAAAGCTTATGGGTAGCTGGTTAGCGCCTTAAATCGTTTTGGGCAACCATCTGATCAACATGGCGAGTTTTCTCTCAGGGCAAGTCCCAATAGGCAACACAGCAGTAAATTATACATTTGAGTTGCATTGCACCATCCTGACAAGGTTATCGTGAGCCCACGTTGCAGATGGATGGCGAGAACAGATGGGCAGACGTATGATTATGCCCGTTAACTTCTTTAAACCTTTCATTGGTAAAGTCTTCGAGAAAAGGGCACGGAGACGGTTTTCATGAACAGGTTTCCCCATGTGATTCTAGTAAAATATGAAGCACTGGGGGGGGGGGGGGGTAGACATAAATCCACTTGTCCAATTCAGGTCCATCCCACACAATTATTGCAGAGCGCTAGACAGCGGTTCACAGGCATGCAATTGTCATACTCGTACGGTACCCACCTCTTCCCCGGACAGGTAATATGCAGCAAGCAGTCCTCCCACAAACCTGATGTTCACTTCAAACACGGACACCTCTGCATTCTGAGGTTTTGGAGAAAGAGAGAGAGAGAGAAGGGGCGAGAGAGAAAAAAACAACAACAAATAATGAAATCAATTTGACTTTAAACTTTCGTGACTGCAGGAATTCATATTCTTTGGTTCTTTCGGTAAAGTCACGTATATAGAAAATAATCAAATTAAATAAATGAAAAAAGACATTTCGATCGCAACACAAACGATCGTCATCAGGCGGGAAAAAAAAACGTCGTGAGTGTTTTGATTTTCATTCTCTATCTACGCGACTTTACCGAAAGAACCAAAGAAAATAAAATCAATCTTATAACAAGTATAAACAAGTGATATACATGGTATGCTTTTACAAGCTATTCGAAGATACGCAATGCTGCAGTTTTCACTTGATGGCTTGTCCCACGTTTGTTTGCAGGAATAAATGCTGCAAAGTGTCACGCACTGCTTTATATGAATTATGCATTATTTACAAGACTTGTTGGCTAACAACAAGCGCACACACAAAAACACTCGCACGCATGCTACCATAAAACAAATATTAAAACACTTTCTTTCATCTCTTACAAATGTTATAGATTTCTCTCTCCCTTGTGAACAACGATAAACCAGACCGAATAATATTATGCTTCTAAATGTACCTTGTGTGTACTTTGGCTAACACAAACCAAATCCCGATTTTTCTTTGATACTTGTGCATTAATGCATTCGCGAAAATAACGTGTGTACATGTTTTGTTTATCTGTTCATATTATGGACAGAGAATGTTAACTTTGTTAATATGATTTACGGTGATCTGAGCAATGAGTTTACACCGTATTTCTTCATCAATTATATTTTTTTAGCCCCCGCTTAAAACCCATTCATCAAGTTGTGTTGCAGCACAACACATTAATTAATCAGCAGCGACTTGGTTTTAATGAGTTTTAGCGCGACACTTACAAACAGGGTTAAACGGTATACCCAAGAACGCACGACCCTTTCACCTGTACTCAATCCTCCAAACACCCACCGTAGACAAGGCTTTATTGCATTTAATTTGCAGCGTAAAAAAAACTAAATCACCCATGCGTGTGACCGTTCCAAAATACACGGTGGCATAGCCCAATCCCCGAACACACACTTCCAACAACAGGTTCAGTGGGGTTAGACGTGCCACGAGTATTAAATGAGCACCGCGTTACAATAAACATCGCAAATTGCCCCCACACTGGCACCGGTTAACGGCTACAAATCCTCAGTTCAGGTGCAAGCAGAGAGACAGGAGGTGATACTGCCACGGTGCAATGGTCTGCACAAAGGACTTGCAATCCAGATGTTGCCATATGAAACGATGGACGTGATTTCTTAAATCGCCCCCCCCCCCCCGCCCCTGATTCTGTCCGCCCAGCAGGATGAATGGGCAGCATTGAAGAGTAGGCCAAATACCCTCCGGAGCATCCGCCAACGGAGGCCCTTCTACCAGCAGTGTCGTGAGCAAGCAATTTCAGAGTTAGCACTTTTACTTTTTTTTACACCTTTGGTCTTTAACCTTCAAATAATACTCTAAAAACACATACACCAACTCTCTGTATGTTGGCTTAACTGACTAGGGCAACATGTCGTTTAAGGTCCGACCCGCCATTAAATCCATTCCATGACATCGCACACGCAAGACAAACGCACATATGGACACAAGCCTGTGGCGGGAATCACCACGGCACGTGGAACAATGCACTCGTGTGACTAAAAGGCATCAACCATCGTGACAGAAAATGTTGGGCGGGGGGGGGGTGGTGGTGGTAGGGATGGTCATACCACATTAAAGTTGAGGTTCTTCTCCACCCATTCCTTGGCCTCCTGGAACTCGTCGTGCAGCTCCATGATGTACAACGTGTCCAGGGCATCGACGATCGTGGCTCCCATTTGCGTGTTGCCTGCAAATTAATGCGCAAACAAGACAAACATCCCCTTTATAAGCAGACTGTTGGGGCAAGTGCTGTTAGCGAACACCTACGAAGGCCGGCGCTGCATACCAAGGGGGTGGGATGGCCAGCACCATGCCCAGGCCACCTTTGGCTCCACAGTGGTGATGTTTGCACACAGCACCAGGTACTCATTTGATGCAGTCACCCTCAGGGAGGCCCTGGACTGCTTCAGATAATCATGCCTGGTGTTGATAGCCGTGAGCGGGAATTGCCAGGTTTGTAGCGCAGCGCGCAAACCGCTACACTACCATTCCCAATACAATCACACGTTGGCACGCTGCTAAAAAAAGAGCGTCACATCAGCCACCAACCTCTGCTCATATCCCTTTAATGAGTCTCCAGCACTTACTTACTAACCATGAGGAAGGAGTGTTTGGGGAAGTGTGGGAAGTGGGGGGGGGGGGGGAGGCAAAAAATGTATCTCTTTCAAAAAAAGATTTCTTTTGTGCATACCGATGCGCACATTAATATTTGAGAGGTTCCTAATGACATGCAGGGCGAACACCATTAGAATTTTTGAACCGTGAGCCGCTGGTCGCTCCTGTTACGCAACCTTTCTTCCAGTGCCAGCCGCCATCAGACACCACCACGGGACACCTTTAACAGCGGTGTCAGCCCTCATTGTCAAGAGCAATTTGCGTGACACGCCGATACATGGACACTCGGGCTTCTGACGCCGCTCGACACGGGAGCAGCGGGCGTCGCGTGCGGGCCTTCGATACGATGCGGCAGCCGGTTTGCGCAAAATTTGCCCCGAAATTGAAACGCGTGGCCGCAGAGGCTTCTCAGCGGAAGCCAGAGGTCGCAAACGGGTTTTGATTCCTTACCCGTACCCGGCCGCACCAGGGTCGCAAACGGGTACCTGTACCCGTACCCGGCCGTACCCGTACCCTAACCGTACCTGGCCGGGTACGGGTAGGGCACGGGTATCGGGTACCCGATCGCGACCTCTGGGATGAAGCCATGTTGCAGACGCGGGTGGGTTGATTCTATGAACTTGAATTGTGAGAAGAGACAAGACGTTGGGAAATGAGTGACAAACGGTTACTCACCAGTGACTCACGGTCTACCCGTACCCGTACCCAGCCGCACCAGGGTCACAAACGGGTACCCGTACCCGGCCGGGTACGGGTAGCCGGGTATCGGGTATGGTACAGGTATCGGATACCCGGTTGCGACCTCTGGCGGAAGCGCCTGAAATATGTGTACATTGGAACTTCTTCCGGCTTCGCACGTTAGCCAAGGGAAGACAAGATGCACACAGTGTCGAATGTGCACCCCCCCCCCCCCCCCCCAAAAAAAAAAACGAACGCGAGCAGTTTCGCGAAACTGTCGCGACCCGACAGGATGTACACCGTAGCAGTTGCTCTGAAGAAACGCTTCGGTCAATTAGGGTGAGTCAAAGCCTTTTGAGTTGCTGAACCAGATGGCCGCAAGATTGCTCGAGTGTTGCATTCGGAATCAATAAAACATTTTGCCGCTGTACAATAAAACACTCCGTCTAAAGCGGGTGGCGCTTTCGCGGTCTGCACCGTTACAAAGGTGGGAGAAGCGTCTCCGTCTGGTGCTTACGCGTGGAAAATCTAATTTCTGCGCCTGGCTATGTGTTGTTACAGTGCAAAGCTTAAACGCACGTGAAATGAAAGTGGGACTTTTATTTCTTGTCAATGTGGCGTTTCGGCTCTTGAGTGTAATAAAAAATATATAGCCAGTCTCAAACAAAAATGTTAGAATTTTTAAACTGGTTTCACAATAGTTATTCTGTCGGAAGGTGCTAGGAAGAATGGCAGGTAGAGGAATAGTAACGTACCAAAAGAAAGGTAATGCTTGTGCGAATAAACTAACAAAAGTCAATCGCTCACTTTTTAACACGCTTTTATTTCACTCACTCTGTCTGTTGTTGTTGTTGTCGTTGTTGTTGTCGTATCCTCAAATCTTGTAACTCAATTTTAACCCACTTCCCAATGTGGTATCGATTGCAAACTTGGTATACTTATGTCATACTGATGACAATACTATATTCTAACATAAAAAATAAAAAAAACATATATTTTAAAACATTATTTTTTACATGTCTAATTGTCCACGGTAAACTGACGTTGGCTGCAAATGACAGCGGCCCCTTACGTTATGGCAAGCTTCGGGCCACTTCCTGGAGTCGTAGAGTTCTTCCATTACTAGTACGGTACATTTCATTAAAGCGTGTTTTTTAAAAGTTTTTGTTAAATATTACTTATACTGGCCGCAGCAGTGTCACGGCGATGCGCTGGGTCTCTTCACGAGACGCGTGGGGCACTCGAGCTGCGGCCATTCTAGTCAAGGTCACCTCAGCCCGGAGGAGCCGGGTAACACGTGGGCCCAAGAGCACAGGTGCATGTCCTGCCTCCAAGACGTGAAAACACACGCTTTTCGTATTTCTCGACTGGCAAAAACGTTCGTTGTATGCCATTGTTTAACTAAGAAAAACAGATGGCTTTGTCAACACTTTAACTGCACCATCTTTTTTTTATCATGCTTTTCCCCAATTCATGCTCAGTGGGTTTTTAGTTTTATGAGGCCCTGCTTCAGTGTCGTCAAAGAGAGCCAACGCTGTATCGAGAATGGAATGGCCAACATACGTCAAACGAAACCGCGAGCTCTCGATGCGGTTCCACGCACAGCATCCAACAGCGCAAGTCACAGGCCGATACCAAGAACAGCACAATTGAATTGCCGCCTGAGGAAGTGGTGGTGGTATGCAGATTGAACGGGACAATAAGCTCACACTGGGAATATGACGAGACACGAGATAAAAATAATAATTCGCGTTCCGGCTTCACAGTACAGTGTGACAGTTCTGCTCCTGGGCATGTGAGTCACAAGACACGAGCCACGTGAACAACAACATTCTTTCTCCCACCACACCCACGTCAGAGCTATCTAATTAATCACCTTCCAATTAACGATACTCTCAAGCTAAATTTCGATTTTAAGCTTTCGTGACTGCAGGGATTCATCTTCTTGGTTCTTTCGGTAAAGTCACGTAGAAGGGAAATAATAAAATAATAAAAATAAAACATAATAAAATACAATTCCCACGACGTTTCGGCCACAACGCAAGCAGACCTGTTCTTCACCTGAGGACGGCTGCTTGCGTTGTGGCGGAAACATCGTGAGAATTATTTTATTATGTTTTATTTAAATTATTTTATTATTTCCCTTCTACGTGACTTTACCGAAAGAACCAAGAAGACTCTCAAGCTAGTTTTGTTTTTCCGAGAGTCGTTGTCAGGGCCTACACAGGCCATTGACATTACAGGCGGTTAGCCCCGTCCCACGGCGGTAGCAGCCGACTGCACGGAGGAAACGCGGTAAACGCCAGGCCGGCCGGTATAGGGCAGCCCTGTCATGTGACCTTCCTGCTCCCATCGCTCAGTAACGACGAGGACGACGACATCCACAAAACGACGCATTTCCCTTCGCAGGAGCAGGACGAGAAACTGGCGGGCGACTATCAACGGCCGCGGGAAGCATCCTGCTCAACAAACACCCCTCCACAACGAAAAAGCTCGGATGGAAGTGAACGACGGTTCTCTTCACGGCAGTCAACTGCAACCACGTCAACTGGCCGACGACGGAGTGGCTGGCCAAAAGAAGATGAAAGCGCACACGACAAAACTTCCACCACCGAGGTGGAACGGCAAAATCAGCTCTCGTGTTAGGAAAGAGCCCGAGCGATGGCACGGTGCATTGGCAACGTTTACTCTACGAGGAACGCGAGACTGAGATCCGTGCGATTGACGGCGCTAAATGGGATGTAATTGTTGCGGGGGGGGGGGGGGGGGCAGAACGTCTGTTAATTTACTACTCAGCAATGCCCTTCTAGAAAATGAAAAGTCTTTGCCACGTGGCCTTGACCACTTTGCCCTGGACGATGCCCAATTCAGTTCATGGTCATCGAGGAGGGAATATATGTGCTGGCCACTCTTAGCACGGCAGGGACCTTAGTGAACACTTGCGGGGACGAGAATAGGAAAGAGTCCCCTCCCCTGACGCTTCCTGATATATATCCGAGGGAGCGTCAATGCTGCGGATAAACCAGAATAATTCTAGATTTGAAGCTTTCGTGACTGCAAGGATTCATATTAGTAGGTTTTGTCGGTAAAGTCACGTAGGTAAAAAAGTTTAAATTAAAATCAATACTTTTATTAATTTTAATTGTGCTTGGGAAATTTTAATTTTTTACCTATGTGACTTTACCGAAAAAAACCTAATAATATAAACCAAAATAGCCGGATAATACGTCTTGAAGGTCCCGCCGACGTGACCCAGTTCCCAGGTTGCACCCTTGGCGGAATGGCTCCGCGGTGACTCCACGTTCAAGAGGTCCTTTTTTTAGGAAAGAGCCGAAGATTCGAACTCCTCTGAATACTCCACTGTGCTTGGGAGATAAACGCAGCCACCCTGAGTAAAAAGGCGTCTTCCCCGAGAACGCAGGCGATTTTCGCCGGTCACGTGCGTCCTGGGTCCAAAGCAAACTCCCCCGCTGGATCGAGGCGATGGGTCGTGTCCTCGAGGTAGTCTTGTTGACTCCGCGAGACTGGCTCTAAGGCGCCGTGTTGAAATGTGAGCCTGTAAGCCCTGACCCATGATGCCCAAGCGCCCACCTGTAGTGGACGGTTGGTCTACACCTGGGCTGTGAGGGAATGAGGCACGCTCCCCTCCCCCACCCACCGCCACCTCCCCCAAAACAAGGACGTTGGTGCATAAAGTCGAAGGGCAACAACGACAGCTGCCGCTGCGGCTGCTTATCGTCGAAAGTCAACAACTGCAGAAGTCTGTCTGGAAGGCCAGCGAGCGTGGGTTCAAGTTCAAGTTCATTTATTAGGTATAGCCCTGTGAGCCATTCAGCTCTTGAATCGGGTGCAACCGCAACAAACAAAAAACAAAAACATGAACAAAAAAACATC